CATGTTTGTGTGTAAATACTAAAATGATTACTTACTACTTGTACTACTATTCCTACTTTGTGGATTTTCTCATCGCGGAGCTTCAGGATAAGTATCCCCCAAGATAAACGAGGGATTACTGTATTGTGTAACCATGTATGTATGTACATACATATATATTTAAATATAAATGTGTGTATGTGTACTTATGTATACGGAGAGTAGATATTGTTCATTAATGTAGACTGCTGAGCCTATGAATAGGGTAGGCAAGTATAAGCCTTGGCTTCAGCCTATTCCTTTTTTGGTAAATTGTTGATTTGTAAAATAGTATTTCATAGTTTTCCTGTTTTGTAATGTTGTTAATTTACCAAAATAAAGTTGAGTTGAGATCCGACTTCATAAGTCTGAAAGAAAGGCAGTCCTGATACATAAGAGCAAGTCCGCCTCTTCGCCAGGCAACCCACAGGGTCCCAAACACGGAACAGTTCAGAGGGCACAGCTCTTTCAAATGTGTATATTCCTGAGTAACTTTAACTCAAGGTAAATTTTTAATAACTTACATTTTACTTTTCCCATCACTGGCAACAATAGTTGTATCCTGGACAGCAAGAGGGGAAGCTCGATGTTCCTACTCAGGTACCACACCTCTGCCATCATCCTCCACCTTCAGTCATTTAAGTTTGGTCTGGAAGGGGACATGTGCATCCACTGCAACCTGGTTGTTTGGGACAGTGATGTTTGGAGTGGCTGAGTGGTTAGAGCAGTCATCCTCCAATGGGAGAGTTGGGGGTTCAATTCCACCAGCAGTCACATGTTGAAGTGTCCCTGGGTAAAGACACTGAACCCCTCATTGCCTCCAATGCGTGTCCCATTGGTGTATGAATGTGATAAAGCTCTGATTGGTCTTTGTAGAGATCTAGCAGGTTGCTGCATGAATGGGTAAATTAGGACACAGATTGTTGTAAAGAGCTTTGAGTATCTTGATGAGATAGAAAGGTGCTATATAAGTACAGTACATTTACCTTTTACTTTTATTTGAACAGTTTTCACAGAAGTACTTTATCTGTGCTGGTCTTGTAGTCCTGAGGTAGCGGGTTTGAGCCCAGATTGCGCCAGGAAAGGCATCTGGCGTAAAAAATAATAAACACCAGCAGAAGGGAGCAGCCGAAAAACTTCAAGAGTAACTTTACTTTTACTTGAATGGTAAATGGACTACTCTGCTCTAACCACTCAGCCACAGCCGCCCCTACTTGAGTACATTATTTTAGTATTCTTCACCTATTCTGATATAAAAAGAACTTCATGGAATGATTTAGTAAAAAAAAAAAATATTAGGAGGAGGTATGTTTAGAGCACAGCGCCTCCTGCTGGTGGAGCTCAGAGCTGCAGCACAAACCATTTATTTAAAAAAATCTTTTTTCTCTTAACAAGAAACAGCTCAGGGCACTTCCTGCTGATCATGTGTGTCATAAAAACATGACATTTATCAGAACCATTCATTGAATAAGAAACACACAGAGACAGAAAATGGATCAACAAATTAAAAAAATTTGTCCAGTTCTGAACTCGATCACCTTGTCTGGTTCTGTAAAGTCTGGGCAGGAGTTCTGTGTCAGTCTGCGGTAAAGGAGTTCTGGGTTGGTTCTGTTTCAGTTTGTTGCGATTGTAGAGGTGTTTTGGATCGGTTCTGCTCCTCTGTTCCGGCTCCGTCAGCTGTGGGTCCTGACACAGAGTTGCTGGGGTTTGTGGTCTCTGTTCCGCTCTGTAGGAACTTCCTGAGGTCCTTCAGAACTGGTCTGAGCATCTGGACCAGCGCCAGCAGCGCGGCCTGGGTTCCCTCCAGGGCCTGGGCCTGGCGTTCCTGGGCCAGCGCCTGGGCCTCCTGGCAGCGCCGCATCATCTGCAGCAGCTCGTTCTGGCCCTCCAGGTGCTGGGCGATCTGCCGCACGTGCACGTTGGTGACCCGCTGCTCCTGCAGCAAGCGGGCCGAGTTCAAGGCAATTCGGCTCTTCAGCTCCTGAGGTTTGGACTGGGCGGGTGGCGCTGGCGAGGCCAGCATCTCCACGGGGGCCTCCACAGCGGTCACCAGGGTGGGGGTGGAGTCACTGACAGTGGTGGTGCAGTACTCCACAATGCCGCCGTCCTCCAGGGTGTGGTAGGTGGTCTCAGCTGGGGACAGGACACACAACAGGTCCAGTTCTGACAAGACCCATTATTAGAAGAGCTATAGAAAAATAAAAACTACTCACCATTCAGAGGTTTGACCTCGTCACATTCGGCTGCGGCTGGAAGAGCTGGACCAGAGGAAATGTTGGAAAACAAAAAAAAAAACACTTTACCATTTTAATGTTAACAAAAACAAATGGTTTCCAGCTTCAGAGTGCTGTGTTAAACTTTGTTCTTTTTTTGTTGGATCATTTTTTCTTTTATCCAAAAGACTTCATCAGTCCGAGGAGCCACAACAAACTCAGTCTTATAAATAGCACCTTCTCATAGTGGGTCAACCAGTTTGATGGTGCTCAGATGGTTTCTGGAGTCCGTCCTCTCCCCCGCTGACTCTTTTGACACAGTCATGGCCAAAGTGGTTAAAAACATCCTGAGTCATGCTCAATAATACAGGTAAAAAATCCTAAATTAATCCAAAATGGATGTTTTAAACCACGTTGGCCATGACTGCCTAGAGAGGACAGACTCCAGAAACCATCTGAGCACCACCAAACTGGTTGACCCACTATGTGAAGTTGCTTTTTATAATACTGAGTTTGTTGCAGCTCCTCAGACTCAAGAAGTCTTTTAGATGAAAGACAAAACATTTCAACAAAAAGAAACCGTCCAGAGAACCTGACTTAACTCATGAGATTGTTCTACCTGGATTAAGGAGCATGAATCAGGATCTTCTTCTTCTTTTGGCTTTTCCCCTCTTCAGGAGTTGCCACAGTCATCCTCTTCTATCTCTGTCCTCTGCATCCTCTGTCCTCACTCCAACTACCTCCATGTCCTCTCTAGCTGCATCCATATATCTCCTCTTTGTCTTTTTCCTGGCAGCTGCATTTCTAACATCCTTCTACCAATATACACACTGTCCCTCCTCTGGACATGTCCAAACCATCTCAGTCTGGTCTCTCTAACTTTATCTCCCAGTTATTCAACCTGTGCTGTACCTCTGATGATCTCATTCCTAATCGTATCCATCCTTGTCACTCCTAAGGAGAACCTCAACATCTTCATTTCTGCCACTTCCAGTTCTTTCTCCTGTCTATTTGTCCATGCCTCTGTCTCCAGACCATACAACATAGTTGGTCTCACCACTGTCTTGTAAAATTTTCCTTTGACCTTTGTTGACACCTTTTTTTAGCAAATCACTTCTGAAACTTTTCTCCATCCACTCCATCCTGCCAGGACCATATTTTCCACCTCTTTACTACACTCCCCATTTTCCTGGACAGTGGACCCCAAGTACTTGAAGTCCTACACCTTTGTGACCTCTGCTCCTTGTAGCCTCACTGTTCCACCAGCCTCCCTCTCATTCACACACATGTACTCTGTCTTTCTATGGCTGACTTCCATTCTTCTTCTTTCAAGTGCATACCTCCACCTCTTCAAGTTCTCTTCCACCTGTTCCCTGTTCTCACCACAGATCACAATGTCATCTGCAAACATCATAGTCCATGGGGATTCCTGCCTGACCTCATTTGTTAGTCGGTCATCACCAGAGCAAACAAGAAGGGGCTCAAAGCTGATCCTTGATACACTCCCACCTCCACCTTGAAGCTATCTGTCACTCCTACAGCACATCTCACCACTGTCCTGCTGTCCTCATACATGTCCTGTACCAGTCCAACATACTTCTCTGCCACTCCAGATTTCCTCATGCAATACCACATCTCCTCCCTCGACATCCTGTCAAATGCTTTTTTCTAAATCCACAAAGACACAATGGAGTTCTTTCTGACCCTCTCTTTACTTCTCCATCAGCATCCTCAAAGCAAAAATGGCATTTGTGGTGCTCTTTTTCTGCATGAAACCATACTGCTGCTCACAAATAGTTACCTCTCATCTAAGTCTTGCTTCCACAACTCTCTCCCAGATCGTCATCGTGTGACTCAACTTAATTTCCCTGTAGTTGCTACAACTCTGTACATCACCCTTGTTCTTAAAAATGGGCACCAGCACACTTCTTCTCCATTCCTCAGGCATTTTCTCACCCTCAAATAAAAGACATTTCCAAACCTCCAGTGGTATGTCATCAAGTCCTACTATCTTCCCCTTCTTTATTCTTTTGAGAGCTTCCTGGACTTTACCCTCACTAATCTTTCCCACTTCCTGGTCCACAGTTTCTATGATTTCTACTCTTCTTTCTTTCATTCTCTGCATTCATTAGCTCCTCAGACTACTCTTCCATCTTCCCATCACACTCTCCTCACTTTTTAGAACATTACAAACCCTATATTTAAGAAGCTTAACCTGCTGCACATCCTTTCCAGCCTAATCCATCTGTCTCACCAATCGCTACAAGTCCTTCTCACCCTGTTTAGTGTCCAACCTCCCATACAACTCATCATATACCTTCTGCTTTGCCTTAGCTACCTCCCTCTTTGCTCTCCATCCCATCTCCTTATATTCCTGTCTCCTCTCTTCAGTCCTCTCACTGTCATATTTCTTTTTGACTAACAACTTTCTTTGAATGGTGTCCTGCACTTCACTATTCCACCACCAGGTTTCCTTATCATCCATTCTCTGTCCAGACGACACACCAAATACTTTCATACCTGTCTCTCTATTTACAGTTGTTGTAGTAGCTTAGTATATCAGAAGCTTTATTACTACTCAGAGCCTTTAACAGCTCCTCTCTGAATTTCTCACAACATTCTTCTTTTCTCATCTTCCACCATTTGGTCTTCTTCTATTATTTCACTATTTTTCTCCTTCACAACAGTCATTCTACACACAAATATCTGATGCTGTCTGGACACGCTCTCCCCTGCCACAACCTTACAGTCTCCAATCTCCCTCAGGTTTCCTCTTCTACACAGAATATAGTTGACCTGTGTACTCCTTCCTCCGCTCTTATATTTCACTCTATGTTCCTCCCTCTTTTTGAAATAAGTGTTGACTAGTCATTTCCATTCTCTTAACAAAATCCACCACCATCTGTCCTTCCTGGTTTCTTTCCTTGACACAAAACCTACACATAACTTCCTCATCCCCATGAGCATGAATCAAGATTTGTTGTGTTAAACTTTGTCCCCTCAGTTTTAAAATTGTTGTGTTAAACTTTGTTGCCTCCATTTTTTTTTTCATTAATTCAACCTTTATTTATACAGGTCAGTCTCATTGAGCCTTCATGACTAATTTCCAAGAGACCTGTTTTAAACAAAGAACACAGATGAGGTACAGACAACAATAGCCAATCATATAAAAGCATATAAAATGAAAAGTAAATGAAATGATATAAATAAATAAATAAATAAACTAAACAAAAACAGTTAAACTATGAAGCGATGTAAAATACTAAAAACAGGAACATGTCTGCATTGGTTTTTGCAATGAACTTAACAGATGTTTAAAATCCCTTAGAGTGGTCAAAGTCAACAACTTCAGATCTTTTTGCAAAGAATTCCAGGTTACAGGAGCAGAGTAAGAGAAGCCCCTTTTGCCCAACTTGGTCTGCACTGAGGTGACACTACAGGTACACTACAATGATGTCTTGAGAGCGCAAACTGTAGCTGCACTAATGAAGTGACATGTAGGAGATATATGAAGGCAACAGACCAAGAAGTGATTTAAAGATGAAAATGTACCAGTGAGAGAATCTGCGTAAAGTTAATGATGACCAATTGACCAATGAATGCAGAGTGCAGTGATGGGTATGATAATCACAGCCAGTTATGAATCTTAGCGCACCATGATATACAGCATCCAACATCTGCGGGGTGCTTGCAGGAGCGTTCATGTAAATAATATCACCATAGTCAATGGAGGGAAGGAAAGTTGCAGTTACAAGTTGTTTCCTAGCATTCATAGTTAGACAAGATCCATTACTAAAAATGAAACCCAGTTTTACTTTCAGTTTCTTTACCAAGTTTTTGACGTGATGCAAATCGACCAAGGTGTTTAAAGTTGTTGAGTTAAACTCCCCATGCCCCAAAGTAAATCACCAAGCCTGGACTCCTCTGCCAGCCATCAGGGATTAACTTTGGGCCAGCAGTTCTCCACCATTTGCCATCAGATTAGTGTACCTGTTTCTGCTGGAGCGGTTCATAAACAGCCCAAACTTTGGCTTGAACAGCATGTATTTAATAAAGAGCATCTCAGCTTTGTCAGTCATGAGAATATTCCTGTGTTCCTCCACATTGTTGGATGCAGCGCTGAATAAGCACTCACTTTCCACACTTGTGCAGGGTGCAGACAGATAAGCTCTTTCTCCTCTAGAAAGGTCCAAAAAGCATTCCTTATTGGTTTCACAGTATTCCAATGGGGATACACTCCAAGAGATGGGTGGCTCTGAGAAGTAGATAAGCATCTCTAATGTTGCACTGTCTGCACGAGCCTGTTGTGTGGTTTCTTCTGACAGGATCTCACCAAACATTGAAGACAAAGATTCTGGTCATGGCACTTTTTTGCTGGCTTCCCTGTGTTGTTAGCTTCAAGTTGTTAGTTTGGATCCCTCTGAGAGCCTTCTGTCATCAGACGAAGAAGCAGTCTGTGTATTTTGGTCTTGAGACCTTAAGAACAAAATCTGTTTTTGTACATTGAATGCGCGCGCATGTGTGGGTCTCACATTAATTTCACATGAAACTCATTGTTTCGGGCCACTTGAGAATAAAACCATTAACTATGTACATGTATATGTAAATGTTTATTTTTTGTCATTTGATGATCATTTTATCACCTTGGGTCTATGACTGTTGCCAAACTGTAGAGGGGCTCATCTTCGATGTCAGCAAATCTTTTGAAGACAGCTTCCAGCAACTAGAGATGCACCGATCCAATATCAATATTGGTATCGGTACCGATATCTGAAAAACTTCTGGATCAGGTATCATGACAATGTGACCGATCCATTTTCCGATCCAACCTGCAGAGTTTTCAAATCCATGATGCATGTTGGCTTCAAACTATGGAATGGATTTCCTGAACGGAGGCATGTCTCATGAACCCAGAGTAATAAGACCCGCCTCACATTCAGGAAATCCATTTCATAGTTTGCAGACAGTTGCAACGTGAGGACTAAGTTAGCAGCACTGTGGCTAACAGCTAACCAACTTTTCATTGAAACATGTCCGCTGTGTGG